CAAGCCTAATTTTACCTTTTTAGACTAAAAATCCAAAGGAGGGTTTCATCCCCTCCTCTTTGTCCACACTGGAGAATTTAAAAACGGAGCTTTATTTCTACGGTTAGGCCTTCCGGCCACTCTAAAACCTCACGAAACGGAGCTTTTCCAAAACGCTCTTCAAACCGGAGGAACATGAAAATGTTGGCTTTGATGAGTTTTAATGTGGACGGAAAACATTTTGAAAACGACGCTTTTCGTAAATGATGGCGCTGAGTAAAACGCGGATATCATGATTATCGCAAACACAAATCCAAAATGACCGGTGACTGTTGGGTTTTCAAAGTCCCCCAAGGTAGTGTAGACGGAACACATTTGATGTGTTATGAGAGTGAAACCTTTTTCAAATTTGTCCAGCGTATAGTGTAGACGGGGCTTGAGTTTGCGTGCACGTCTTATTGATAACAGCCCGGATAGGCAAATACATATTCCGGCAGGAAACACTCAAAACAACAAAGTTGCCACGCCGAAATGAAAAACAAAACAAATGGTTATATCACTATTTCAAGGACCTAATCCAATTATAAATATTTGTACGTTTCCTTTTGCTTGGCAAGAATTTAAGTTTTGCCGGCATACCAAACGTGTGAATTCCCTTTGCAAGAAAGTTTCCAAATTTTCCTCTGTAAAATTGCTTCTAAAAGAACATCACTTTTATTTGGAAAGAACCTTGCGATGACGCAACGAATCACTTATGCTCAAAAGAACTCATTCATGGTTTGGACCCTCGGCCCTAGAGAGGCCAGTGCTTCGTTAAGAAGAGGAAGGCAATATCACTTAACCTTGAATTGATGAATAGTTTACCTTGGTTTGACTCGAATAACTCCGCGATATGGCTACATTAAAATCCCGCGTGTAAGAATCTACATTTTTTGAAGTCTGCATGGCAAAATAGGTTCTTATATTTTGGGGTAAGTTTATGGTTCTTATTAGGTTCTTAATTTCTATGAAGGAAATACAGCTGTTGATTACCAGAAAAATAAATAAACTTGGGTTTGGTCATATAGTCCTCATAACACCTGTAACATTTGATCATATGTCCTAATAGCATCTGTAACATTTTTAACGAGCATATTTCCGCATACAACCTGAGACAATCAACTACAATCAGATTTTTGTACAACACTGTTACTTATGGGAAGCACTCTCTGCGTTATGTAGGACCCAAATTATGGGGCAAACTGTCTATGGCTGACAGATCAGCCAAGACACCGCAGGCTTTTACAAACTATATTCGCAAAAGGGATATAACTCGCTTAGTGGACACCGGCTGTAAGGGCTGTATCCTATGCTGCACATAATGCCCTTGAAGTCATTTATTTTTATTGTATTAATATTAGTATTAGTGTAGTTTTTTAGCAGTGTCCCCTAATTAGTATGGTGTATTATTCCCAGGCTATAAGGTTTTGACACTTTAATAAAGTTCTCACTCACTCACTCATAAACGTACAGTACTTATTCACGACTGTGTTATGATAAGCCTAACACAACTTATTACAGAATGCGTATAAATGCAGTAAGAGTTCATATTTCACTGTAACCCACATATCAGAACCTTGGCTAAACAGATTCTTATATTTTTGGGTATTAAAATGGCAAATTTCTGCCAGAAGGTTCTTACATGCAGGTTTGTACTGTATTACTTAAACTTCAAAAAAGCTTTTCTTAAGCTTTGTCCTTTCATCCTGCGGTCTAGGTTTCTGCCTATATATTTCGAGAAGTGAAAATAGATAATATTGTGCGACGCTTTATGAAATGAGAAATATTCTGTGACCACATCAAATTTAAACAAATGCTACTGGGAATGGAGCAAGACAAGAAGTGAAGTTTACTATTATCGGGGGTGTTGAGTGAGGGGTACAAATGTAGAGCGGGTAGCGGACGGGCTGAACAGGGTTACGTTATAGTCGACATGAGGTTTCTCGCCGAAGGTCGCGTAACAATGAAAACTTTGGAAACCCAAATGGACACCTTTCTGAGAGATCACTTTATTCACGATACCTATATATCTTGCTACCAGCTCAACTGCATGGTAACGTTTATGGACACGAAATGTCATATAACTTTACAGCCTTGTGGGGTTTGAATTTGAATTCATGTACATAAACCATCGAGCACCCAAAACAAGATGGAAACCTTTGTCAAGAACAGTTATCATTTTCTTTTCGTTTCTAAAACTCTAGACTAAATGAACTTCCTCTTCTTCATCTACCTTCAAGTCACATACTCCAGCGAATCTGTCCAAAATGTCTGGCTGTTTTGCCTTCGGAGAAAAATTGTCCTCGTCGACTTTTATCAAGTTCTGGCGATCTGCCAGTACTCGTTCCAGGTTTCGGATCAGATCACGCGGCCGCTTTTTGGCGAGTTTCTCCGCTTCCCTGAGCACGAATCCTGAATCGGTGATAGTCTTATGTTGATGTTTCCAAACTTGATAGACTTGAAGGTAAATGGCGGCATAGAACTCGACGAAGACAGATAAAACTTGATGACGGCGATTACATTCCCTGTAAAGAGATAAACACAGTCAGAAGTTGCACGGTGATAGTCTCAGAGATCGAAAGAAAATGAGATCTTCCCTGTAATTCAACAGCCGACATGTATGAAAGCCTGAAAAATTCAATTCAGATTTCAACTTTGCGATTCAGGTCCAATGAACGCAAAGGGGATGGGTTTGAATTGAACGCTTTCTAAAACTGCGAAGACTGTATTCTCTTTCGTTTATTCCCTTATTCACTCTGTGCAATCAACATTGCTGGCCCTTTCTTAGTTGGAGACTGCAGCGCAGTCACTTTTGTATGGAGCGAAGCCACTTCTTATTTTTCTGACTTTTGGGCAGCCAATTCACTGGGAGCGAGAAGTGACTGGATACCATTCGGAATAGACCAAAATCACTCACGCGGTGCTCTTGAAAGGGGAAAATTATTTTTGAATCCCTGTTTTTTTTAATAATACCCTTAGTACCAGAAGTGTCCAAACAATTCCACTTCAGCGCACTTTCCCCAGTTTTTTTTCTTTTATGAGCGACATTCAACGCGGCTACATCTAGCTACGTAGGCCTGCATTACTGGCGGGATTTCTTGCAGGAGTGCTGTTTCGACGGTTCGTGGACGTTAGGTCCGAGAAGGGGAGGGATTTTTTGCGAGCGGCAAAGCCGTAACCTGCGAACACAGACGTATTTCCGCTTGTCGCTTGCCTCCGCCGAAAATCTCTCGCAGGCTACAAAGCCGCGACTGTAAATTCCGAGCTCAACTTGGCTACTCACCATTTCCCCTTGCTTACGCTGTTTTTGTTAGGGGGTTTTCGGGCGCGAACTCCTGCCAGCTACACCGGCTAGGCTGTACCTTTTTTCGACTTGCTGAAAATTCGCTCATAAAACCTTCGGTGTTAATTAATCCTCATCAGCCGCACTTCACATAGTGTTAAGTTGGGATACGACAAGGTAGCCTGTTCCAAATGTTCAGATAGAGAGCAACACTAAGAACAGAATTACGCCCGAAGAGCGGCGAGAGGAAAAAAGGCGCTCCTACTACCCCCTTATTTTTTGTTAACCGTACTTCGTGCTCCCCCCTCTCTAATTAACTTAATACGGGCTACTAGTTTGGCTTGATTAATTGATGTATATAATTATCCCAAAAAGTTCTATCATCAATATTTTCGCATTTTGCGTGGTGAAATAATTAGTGCAGTGGGTAAAAGTGAAGAACAGTTCCCTCCCAAAAGATATTGTCGGCCGTCTGTCAGACGGCCGTTTGTCGGCCAACTGTCGGCTGTTTTCGGCCAATTGTCGGCCGACTCTCAGCTGACGGCTGGTCGACAAACGGCAACAGTCAGCCAAAAGTTTTCGTTATGTTTTATACTAAGGTGTCGGCCGTTTGTCGACTGACTGTCGGTGTGCCCTTTCTTACTACTTTGTTTATCGTATCACTCTAGCATCTGAAAGTTCTCACTTGTTAAGTTTTTCCTCTCTGAGAGTTTGCAGAGCAATCCTTGTGATGTTGATAGACATGATGGCAAATGGAAAGTTCTGCGTTTCATGCTGAGAAAGTTTGTAAATGTCAAGAGCGAGACCATGTGTCCGACTGTCGGTCACCAAGTACAGGGTGGTCATCAAGCCAAGAAATCCACAACCTCTTAGATCTGTTGCTGGATCGAGGCCTGTGAAAGAAGAGTTTATTACAGAAATCAATTACCATGTCTATCAAACATACTCACACAAACCTAAACCTAAGCCAAAGAAGTCAGGACTACAACCTAAAGACATAGTTAGTAGAGTGTCCTCTACTAACTATGCTAAAGATGGACACATTACACGATTGCGCCACTGCAGCTGACCTTATTGATGCATAGTGGTCTAATTACTAGACAGACAGACGGACAGACAGACAGACAGTCAGACAGACAGAAAGACAGACAGACAGAAAACCTTTATTTAAAGCACGATAAAAGATTAAAGCGTAGTAGTTTAGTAGTATGCTGTACTCTGGATTGCATGGTGTGCGTTCAAGTGTTGGTCAAGATCATTGTGTTGTGTTCTTGGCAACCTGCAGTTAATAAAATGGTCAGCAGTCACTTTGGGTGAAGACAGTAGATCAGCATGGCTCTTCCTGCAACTACCCCTCCCCTACCCCTTGCTATCGTACAGAGTCCACCCTTGTGTTGAGCTATTTATTGCATGCTAAAGAGGAATCTTTGTTGACAATATTTGCCTCACTGATGAGCATAGACGTTCAGTTTCTGATCAAGCTACAAAAAATCAATTCCGAAGATTTAAAGGGCATACATTGCACGATTAACTGTTCCAAGGAATTTGGTGTATTGAATACTTTACATGTATGTGTGATGTGGCTTTTTAAACCCAAAACTTTTACAAAGAATGACTGAGCTCATTAGAGCTTTTGCCAACCAGAAATTTTTGTAGTTATTGAAGGCCAATTAATTTGTCCTTGAATATTACACCAAAAGAGCAAAAGATTTCACCTACATGTATTAGTAAGTTTCACAAGTTCTTTAATGAATGAGTCCATTTGCACCTAGCATGATGCCTTCTCTGTGCAAAATTGCATGTTCATGAGGAACAATATATTTTGCAATGAGCTCGGCAATGATCACTCTACAGGTAATACATATCTTGCTGTGTACCTTGAAAACCAATCAGCTCCCAGTGGTTGCCATAGCGAGGGCAGTCCAGCTTTGTTCCACTTAACTTCTTGTAAATGGTTTGCAGCACATGAATATGCATGGGCTCGTCGTTTTTGAACATGCACAATGCAAGTCCGAATATCAGGTTTCTCTCTGGGTGGAGGCTGTTGTTCATTTGTGGTGGTCCAAACAGTTTATGTGTGACGGCAGCCATGCCGCGGTGTTTTATTGTGGGTTTAATGAGTGACATGTGTTGCTCAAGGTAACTAGCTGTTCGACAGTGATGCATAGCATCCTGGAATGTAATGAGTGGTGAACGACTACCAGCTTGACCATTTCCTGGTAATACAAATGAAGAAAAGCGCGATCACAAGAGAAATCTACAGACTTTACATCATTCTAGTATGTTATGGCTGCCACAGATGGAGAAAAAATATCGCTGACCTTTAACTGACCAGAAAACAATTTTTTCTCTCATCTTAGTAAGAACGATTGTGCTTTATGTTAAAAACATCTATCAACTCTTTGTTTCATTTGCTGAAATGCTCTTCATTGGGCATGAATTTGTGCATGTACAAGATGGCTGTTAAAACACTCATTATCAGGTTATCAAAACCTGTAGGAGCTTTATTTAAAATTCCCTGACTTTGAAAAGAAATTTACAACTTCCATCTTCAGACACTTGACATCTCAAGGTCATGTTAAATGAGCCGATTTTTAACGCCAATTTTGAACACCAATGTCGTGTAACGTGGCACACGGTGACTTTTAACACAACATCTCATTGCGCCAACATGTTGGAAGTTTCTGAAAGCGACCTGCAACATTGTTACCTGAATTTTGCATGTTGCATTAAAAATTGTGTTACAAGTGTAACATACCATTGCCGTCAGTTGCTGAAACAAAGTTGTATATTAAGTTGTCTCTATAACATGGATTAAAAATCAGCATTCAAAATTGGCTTGTGTGACATTGCCTTAAGACTTAGCCCCAACATTGCCGACAACCTTGATAATAAAAAATTATGCGAATTAATCGCAACAGCTACATGTATATGAAGCCATGTAGATGACTAAGTGGAAGTGGTCTGACCTCAGTTGTTCGAAGAATGGATACCACTATCCAAGGGATAAATCGCTATCCAGTGGATAAATTAAAAGGTGTTTAACAAAACAACCACGCTATCCACTGGATAGTGATTTACATTATCCAGTGGAAAGTATTGTTTACCTTTCAGACAACCTGTGCCAGAATGCTCAAAAAAGAAAAGAACACCAAACTCGCAAAAAGAAAAAAAAATCTGCAAATTGACCATAGCGTTACAGCACAACTACTCAAACTGGGCCACCTAGAAGAAAACTAACTAATCAAAAGGTAAACCAAGAACAATAGACTGGTAGCTTCTCATGACGGCAAGTAACAGCCTCTTTGACGTGAAAACATTTAAACACTATCAACTCCTTTGTGTTATATACTCGTAGAGATTCAGTCCTCGACAGCGAATTATCATAATTAGAGATATCCCTCGAAAAATTTAGCTTGAAAGCTTATTTCGCGACAGCTAAACTGAAACTGTTGAAAAGCGTACAAAATGTAGGATCGATACTAACCAATGAACAAATGTCAAAGTTTCCTGAGAGGTTCCCAACATTCCACCTCGAACCTTTGTTTGTATTCTTCATTGCTATTGGTTTATTTGAGAAAAAGATCACTATCCTTTGTTCTCAAGTGACATTCTGATTGGTTCTTTTCTAAGAGGCCCGGTTCAACTAGTCACATTGTAAGAACAGTTGAGTCTCCTGCAAGCAGATCAAAACCCTTAGGAGGCAAGGTGTCCACTTAATACATGTACAAGGGAAGTTTAAAATAAAATAATGTTCAGTTTGGTTGCACATGTACAGTATGTGTCTCACAGGGAATCGGAGCTTGAAAAAAGTGCTGTTGATTTGTCTAGGCAAGTAGATTTTCTATAATAATGATAATGATAATGATAATGATAATGATAATGATAATGATAATGATAATAATAATAACTTTTAATAAAAACTGTTAACTGTGTTTCTATCGTTTTCACTCTTGCTTGCCTGATGGGCAAAAATAAGGGCCTAGGCAAGTTGCATGCCAACTAAATAAAAAATAAAATAAAAAAGAAGCAGGGCAAGCAAAATTTGAAAGCTGCTTGCCCAAAGGACAAGCTGGAATTTGAGATTTTTGTTTCTGAGCAAGTGTCTTCATGTGGAAGATGGGAGATGGCGGCCATCATTGACAAGTAAAGATTCAACTGTTCATATAGGTACAATGTATTTTAAAACAAGCATACCTGGCTGAACCGTTTCCACCAGATCCCACTCCATCTGAGCCTGTTCAAGTGTTGTGGGAGGAGAAGGTAACTTCCGAATTCCTGCTGGTATGTTATCTTTGTCAGACCTTCTCCTACGCTTACCGGGTCGCACATGTCCTGTAGTAGGACTGATTGAGGCAGCTTCCTGCCCAGAATCATTAGGAGCCTCTTGGTTTGGGGAATATCTGTTAATTTCTGATGCACTAGACCTGCCAAAAGTTATATCATATATAATATCTAAGAAATAGAAAACATGTACTGCACATGTTTCTATCGAATTATAAAAAGAAGAGTGGAAGTTTGGGAGAGTGAGAAATGCTGTGTGAACACGAGCCGAGAGGTGAGTGTTTCCACAGCTTTCTGGAGTTCTCCTAAATTTCCACGAGTGTTTCTATAACTCAAAAGAAACACAGAGAACATGTTTTCTACTTCTTTTAGAAAATACTATGATAAAAAAGGAAAACAACTTGTTTACTTTGATAATCAAAATGTAAATTCTCCATGCCAACAGCTCGTGCTAGTTCTGTGTTTCTATCGAGTTTTAGTATAAATCTACTAGCATTCTATCAAGAATGCCATCCTCTGATAGGCTACACAACTCACAAAATTAAATTTTTAACTAGAAACACGATTTTAAACCAATCAGTGCACATATTTTCTTAGGGCTGTTTTCTAATAATCCATAATCCATACCAGCTTCCAGATCCAATGTCACACCATATACTGACTAAAAGGTTCAGACATACTTCTTCAGGACTCATACATGTACATGTATATACAAAAGTTTGAGGAATGAAATCGAATTTCAAGTATTGAAGTCTATGTATTACTCACTAAAACACGCTACTGAAATCTCATGGGAAGAGTGCTATTTTTGTATCCCTAAAAGCTGGACGAGTACACGTGCGATCAACGCTTCGATCATCCCACGTAGTCAACTCAGAAATGGTAACAAAGGCGTGTGGAATAATTAAGAGGTTACAACAGCTGGTATCTGCTGGCGAGAGAACAGAGATCACAAAACCAGAGGAGCAATATCTGCATCTAGATCTACATAAGTAAAGTCGGTAAAAATCTTAACATCTTAATACGAGTTGAGATGTGAGTAGATATCCTTAAACATTTAACAGTGAACCCGGAACAGTAAACAAACTCTTGGATACGACTTGGAGACAGAATTTTTTTTTTTTTGGCCAATTCATTCTTACCCTTGGCTTGAGGGCAAACTACTCGGCAACCCTTCTGTTTTTACTGGAAGCTGAGTAGGTCCATTCGACACGTCTGGATGACGAGTTGAAACCCTGCCAATAGCACTGTCTGTCTTCGTGGCAATTTCATTTGGTGAAGGATTTTGAAAAGCGCCTTCAAATTCCGAGTCGAAGTCGTCCTCGTTTCGATTTTGCTGATTAGCAGCGCGTTGAAAAGCCTTCTCTGCTTCCGCTTCAAGGTCATCGGCGGTAGACTTTGGGTTTTTTAGAGTGGTCATGGCGAAAACGAGCGTCAATATCGAAGATATAACAGACAGCTCACACTTTGGTAGCCATTTTTGTTCGATGACATCAGGACGCAGCTGATACTAACCCCTCCCCGATGAGGTCACCTTTTTACCTGCGGAAGCGCCAGCCATTGGCTCTTGGTGTGTCAAAACAAGTAAATAAAACAAGAAATGGACGTTGCACGTTGCCCTGTCCTTGTTCTAACCTTTAAAATTTGACTTGACGACTTTTTACCGTGCTAAAATCCGATTACAGACATAAGACAATAGAAGTCCTAAGGGATGTCCGAACGAGTGGGCACATGTATTCGTTCCCAGGACTACTCTCCAGCTTTTCTCGAGTGAACATGTCGACATCCATGCGGGTTACTTAACAGTAACAGCAATCTCAACGATGGAAACTTTTCGAACTAGAACTTTGTCATCCGGCGATGATATCTCTGAAATTGTGAGTGGTATGGAGCTACACGAAAGGCTTCCTGAACACACAAATCGGGAGTTCCATGGCAATGCCCGCAACAATTTCTGGAGCGGTTTCTCCATAAATAATTTTCCGACGGCTGAGGACAGCGATGAACATTCAGTTGCTAAAAAGACACCCAAAGAACACAGCTATATTTACACGTTTTTATCAACGTTACTGTTTGTGGTTGTATTAATTGTGGAGAACATATTTCACTACAAACTCTTTGAAAACACTCACGCGTCGATTTCTTTCTACTGGTTGGAAAGCGGTGTCATTGTGCTGTTCTTTAGATTTTGGGGAAGGAAGCGAATAAGGAGGTAAGCTGACTTGTATGTATGCTTGTAAGTAAAATATTACTTTTAACTGAAAAATCGAAGGGTGAAGATGAAGTGTTCTAAACATCAGTAACAGAGTGCAAAGGAAAGTATTTTTTGAGGGGCTTGACCTTTGCGAGCTGTACACGTAACTGCAGTATGATGTTACTAGCCCTCCGGCATAGGCAATTGAACGTTCGGAAATCGAACTCAATCGAACTCAATCGAATTCAATCGTAGGACTGAGTTCGATTGAGTTCGGCTATTGAACCAAATCGAACACCAAACGTTTTGTGAGTTCAGTTTGCAAACTAATTGAACTCAATCGAACAAATTGAACCCAAGGATTTTGTTCCATTGGGTTTGGCAACCAAACTCAATTGAATGTAGTCCAATGGATTGCGTTTGATTGTACTCAGTGAATAAATTCGCTTGAACAAAGATAATGTTATGTGGTCTCAAAAAAAAACAACAACAAAAAAATAATGACAAAAAAGTGTTGTGCTGTTGGAAGTAACTTGAGCCTCCAGTTTTTCAACACCAGTTTGACAAATATCTAGAGTTCAGAAATCTAATAATTTTTGCATGAGTTCGATTTTATTCAAGTGCCAAACTCAATTAATGGATTCAGTTTGATTGAGTTGGATTGATTTCGATTGAAATTCAGTCTGATTGGGTTCGATTGACCATGCCAAGTGTATTATGTGCCCAAAAGTCACTGAATCTCACTAGCGCCTCCTGCCCCAAATTACATCTCTTACAGCACTTCCTTCTCTAACTTGAATTTCTGCAAAAATTTTCCTGATAGATTTCACTTGCCTGTTGACCTAGGTAAGAACAGAAATTATCTACTAACCTGACGGCAAAATTCACTAGCCCGAGGCTGCCCGACACAACTTTCTTTCCTTGCTGAGCAATGAAGGCAAGAGGTACTCATGCATGTATATACATGTACATGTAGTCACAGAAACAGAGAATGTAAATTTCAAATCGTGTACAGCTTACATTCATAGTAGACCTTATACATAAATGGCTGCCAAATTGTGCCAATTTAGAATTCTTTTGTATGCATTTAAATTAGCCCAACTAACCTTGTTTGAGAGTAAAAATTCTTTTGAAGTATCAACTCAAAAATGAGGTTAGTTGGGCTAATTTAAATACTTACAAAAGAATTTTTAATTGGCAGCCATTTATGAATAGGGTCTATGGACTCATCTCTGAAGTGAAATTATTTTGCATTAAGTAGGCATCCCTCAGTGCATGTGGTATACCAGATAAAATGTTTTTGATTTCTTGTGACACCATATAAAGTGGTGAAAAGCTGTGAAAAACCTTGAAGGGGGTGGCATCCAGCCATTCAAAGCATAATTGATTTGTCCTTGTTTAGTCATGAATCAACTTTTCACTGGTCATCAGTGTTAATAATCACAGACTTGCAGTGTTTCAGTTTGTTCAGGGTTCAAAGAAAACCAGGTAATCATAATAACAGCTTGCGGAGGACAAGCTGTTACAGTGATGTGTACATACTTACCCCAAAATCATTCTCACTAGCCCCCCAAAATTTCATCTCTTACAACTAAAACTTACTTCTGTCAGTAATTTAAATTTCCTCAAAAAAAAAAAATTTCCCAAGAATCTTTTCTTGCCTGTTGAGCCAGCAAGGGACAGAATTCACTATCCTGGTTGTACATTAAAATCTCCTGACCCACAGTGAGCTATCAGTGATTCAGACACTAATTTCTTTGTACATGCTGTTATTACCAGTTGATTGCATAATAATTACTCTGTTTCTTGTTTGGTTATTTCAAAACTCCCCAGGATAGTGGCAAGTATGGTGAGAACTACAGCATTGAGTTTCTTTATAAAAAATAAAATAATCACTTTTACCATATGATAGAGGTAAGGTAAGGTAAATACATACATGTACATGCCCGCTACACGTCCGCTGATTGGTTTACAGTCAAACCAAGTGAAGTGTACCCCTCAAGATTACATTAATGAATTGATTATTTTCAATATTGAACCCGCTAGTCGTTTCAAGAATGCAATAATGAGTTGATTATTGGAAAACTGGATCCACTAGTTTTTCAAAGAATACGGCTAATGGGTTTAATGTTTAAAAAAACTCAAATTTACTGTTGATTTTTGAAATGACTAGCGAGTTCAATATTCAAATAGTCAATTCATTGTTGCATTCTTGAAACGACTAGCGGATTCAATATTCAAATGATCAATTCATTAATGTAATCTTGAGGGGTACGCTTCACTTGGTTTGACTGTAAAACCCTGTTTCTATAATTCGATAGAAACATGCATGAGCTGTTTATGTAATGATGGTGCGAGCAAAGAGAATTTACATTTTGATGATCAAAGTCTGTTTTTTCCCTTTCTTTCATTGCGGTATTTTTTTAAAAGAAATGGAAAACTTATTCTCAGTGTTTCTATCAAGTTTTAGTATTAATAAATCTACTGGAGTTCTATTATGAATGCCATTCTCTGATTGGCTATACTACTCACTCTCTAGATTCTTTTGTAGATAGTAAGTAGCGTAGCAGTGTGTGCTTGTTAATAGAATGATGGCTTTGCATTTTCAAAGTGTCTGTGAGGAGAATTTTGATAAAGTTTTGAATGACCAATAGATTTATACTAATTAAAAACAATTAGATTATTTGCTCTTGATTTCTATGGGTGATAGTTGATGCACTGCGCCCTCGTCAACGGGATAGAAATCTCGAGCTCATAATCTAATTGTTTTATAGAAACACTTGTGAAAGTTTGGGAGAACTCCAAAAAGCTGTGGAAACACTCACCTGTTCCCACAGCATTTCTTGTTCTCCCAAACTTTCACTCATGTTTCTATTAGCAATTAGATTATGGGCTAGAGATTTCTATTGCGTGATAGTTGACGAGGGCACAAACTGAGTCAACTATCGCGCATAGAAATCGAGCGTGAATAATTTAATTGTTTTAGTATAAATCTATTAGTCGTTCAAAACTTTATCTACATCCTCTTCACAGACACTTCGAAAACACCAAGAAGTGACCGTCATTTTGTCAACAAGCGCTCACTGCTACCCTACTTGCTTTCTATCACAGAATAGATAGTGAGTAGCATAGCCAATCACAGAATGAATAGAAACACAGTACATGTTTTCTATTTCTTAAATACATGTGCCTTTTGTTTTTTACATGTACAGTAAGTCAGAGTGTTCAATGCCACTGTAGCAGGTAAAACGCAGCAGCCATACGTGTAGTTTTCCAGCTAACACATGTACACTGTATGCAGAAGCATAATATTCCATGGGCTTGGAATAGGACTTTTCCCCTTAAAATTGCTGCCACTTTAAAATTCAGCTTAAGAATTATATTACATGTAAGTTTACCATTAAAACTGTTATCACTGGTTTGTACAAGATCTCTTCTTTTCTTTTGTGTGATTAAGTATATTAACTAGTTTGCGATATATCAAAATATTCAATCTGTACATCTTTCTTCTGGCATCTTAAGTTTCAGGAGTGAAGCAAGTCATTTTTGTCCCATGCTTTGCCTACATGTGGTGGTTGTAACTTTTTTTGCATTGGATTTTAACAATTCAGGCTTTGGAATATCAGCAGGATCTGATTCCTATTTGGTGAGTACTATTTCTTGTTTTGTGTGTATTGAGTAATCTCTTGTGCATTCGTCACTTTTCAAATTAAGTGCTCACAGTAACCAGTTGGTGTGAGAATTAGTTGATAAAAACCAAAATAAAATGTCCAGTTATTGTAAACTGTTCTGTTTTTTACTAATTATTTGATGTGTGGAAATTTCCATTGAACTCAGCAGCTTATCCAAAGTAACTAAAGAAGTACCGGAAATTTGCATTATTGCTTGAAATTTTGTATAAGAAACAGATTATACATACATGTATACAAATTTATAGCATATATTCACTCATGTGCAGGACTGTGACCAGCAGCTGCGCAAATGTTTTGGAACAAAAGAAAGTACATGTATTTAGCTAAGAAATTCAACTCTCACAGGATTGGTTTGGGATTTCAATATGGCTGCACTTTTTTGTTTTGGTCATGTTGTCATGTGAAAACACTCTACTGAAGAAAATGCCTAGTGACCACAACTTACAATCGGCACTCAATGTTTTTCAATTATGCATGCATTATGCATAGACGATAATTATGCTTTCCAAAATTTATTTGTTTCAGGTTTCTTTAGCCCTGTCAGTTCCTCTAGTTCTCCTGGCGTCTTGGGTAACCAATCGACATAGTTATCCAGACAAAATTATTGTATTTGTGACCATTTCAAGTTCACTTCTCATGGTTCTTTTCTGCACGCTTGAGGACTCCTTTGCTGATTATAAGGTGTCATTTACTGATGGACTGTTTGCTTGCATAATGAGTGCTTCACTGGCTTTTTTTACTGTTCACGCAAAAAGATATTTGCCAAAGGTGTGTATGACTGTTTACTTTCAATTGATAATTTAAAATTTAATTAAAAATAAAATTAATGTAGATTGATATAGTCTTATTTGTCATAGACGGGATCATTGGATAATCCATTTGAAGAGTTCTGAGCCATTGTACCATGCTCTACAAATATGACAAGCGTGTGCATAATTTTTTGCGTTGTTTTTATTTCTTTTCAAATTAAAATTTAGTTTTTTATATTTTAAGGGGATTTTAAATAAAACAAGTATTTGACCTGTGCTTGTTGAATATGAGATGATAATAGCCAACTTGGCACTATGTGCCTTGTCATTTCATATCCAATGTGTGCTTGTGGAATAATAATTATGTTTAATTACTAAGAGGTAGGGGTGATAGGCACTTTCTGCCACCCCCTTCCCCTGGGTCGATAAGTTTTCAAAAAAAAAAAAATATTCACTTCAGGCAGAATAGGCCATTTTCGTACCTCGGTATTGGAGTGGAAATAACTTGCAATGGAGGCTCAGGTTGGGGAATATCATCAAAAAGAGATAAATGTCATTTGCATTTGAAAAGACTCCCCGCATTAGCCTCATTTGCAAGCTAGTTCCAGTCCAATACCGAGAATAAGAAAACGGTCTATTAGACTAAATGGTGTTTCATACAAGGAATACCTCAACAGCAGATAATATTCTTACTTTAGCTCGCTATAGTTAGGAAAAAGGATTAAGGTTTACTAACTAAGCATTGTCATAATCAGGCTTTTAGCCAGAATTTTAAATGTGCCCGTCCAAAATGTACTACAGAGCCTGCTCAGATGAGCAATTTGTAAGGCAACACACATGTATGAAAAATAGAATAATTTTCTATAGAAAATGGCTGTCCACAGGACACCTGGATGCCCATCTGGTACTAAAGCCTAGTCATAATAGGTGTTGTTTTGTTTTGGGTGCAGGCCACACGTGCAGAGCTACTTTATCTGTTAAATTTCACCTGCGTTGTGAGCCTCCCGTTTGTTGTCTTGTGTTTTGGTGAGTTACCTGCACTTGAAGCTCAACTGTTGAACAGAACACTGGAGCTGATCATTAGTTTGTTCATTATGGTGAGTTTGACATTCAGTCCGTACGTAACTGGTACAAATACAAATTTATTATTAGCACTCCCCAAGGGGGCTTTTCAGTACTAATACTACTAAATAAGTTACATTAACCAAGGAATTATAAGAATGATATGAAATAAGGTAGAATTACGTGATGATATTGTATTATGAAGATAAAAGTTCACGTAAGAGTTCACCTCGTAATCTTCGTTCAAAAATATTCAGAAATTCGCTTAGCTTAAGATTTCTTTCTAAACTATTCCATAATGACACTGTCCTTTGTCCTGTAGAGGTCTTGGTCTTGTTTGTCAAGAAAAAATGTACAGAGGATGAGATATTTGACATAACTATTTAATTACCACGGCTAGTAAAATCAATATGGGCAGGCAGAACCCTTCCTCTCTATAATACAGACGCCTGTCTTTAGTTAATTTCGGCAGCATTTCTTAATTCTTATGAACCCTTTGATTTAAATTTTGTGACCTCTAGAATATGGACACCTCTTCCAATAGGGACACTTTAGTATACCATGTTTGGTGTCCGTGTTTGGTGTCCATTCTATTGCACGGGTAAATCTTCACTTTACACATTTAAAGAAAATGCACACACTCTTAGATTTGATAGGCATGTTTCGGATACTCCGTGTCAAATTTAAGAGTGTGTGCATTTTCTTTAAATGTGTAATCTCTTCTATACTCCTAAGAAATCTTCACTTTATAATTTGAACGTCTTGAAGTATTAAATTCTTGCTTGGTTTTGTGCTTCAATTCATTATAATACACATGTATATATTGACAGGATTTCTGAAAACCGCGTCAATGAAAAATGTGTTCTGAATGATCTTTGATTTCACAACTCCTAAAGACCTCAAAATTATTCCAAGCGATAGAGAAGAGCAGGAAAGGGCAGATAAGAGAGTGAAAAAAAAAAAAAAANCTTTCTCTGGCGAGAGGAAAAAAAGACTAACAATGCTTGAGTGGGCAAGATTTTCCTCAACACTGTTTTTTTAAATCCTGACATGATATAAAACAGCTTGAGCGAGCAAAGATTAAAAAAAAAAAAAAAAATGGAAATTTGGCTCTCCCTTACATCAGGTATTGACTTGTTGCTTGTTTTCATGCCTCTGCCTCTTATTTCAGGCTCTTCTTCGTTTGGCCAGCCAGGCAGCTTGCCTCTATCAACTCAAATTTTCTTCCCCTCTTCTCAACGTTGGAGCGCGAGGCTTTTCCTGGATCTGGGTCACCCTGGCTATTACCTTTCTGAGTCCTGCTGACACTGGTGAACTTGTGATGCCGGTGTTTGCTGCGTTTTGGATATACGGGGTATTTTCGTTTTTACCCGTTCTGTGTTCTGATCTTCACTTTATATGAGCAGAAGGATGTGGTGTTAGCTACTAACTTAACTTTAAGCAATAGATTAATATTATTGTAACTATTGTCAAGAGTAATTGGACCGAGTGGAGTGAAATTCAGGGAGTAATCGCACAAGTAATTTCAAAATCTTGCAAGCGCGCGGAGGCGATTTGAAATTAAGAACACCATTACTCCCTGAATTGTACGACAGGAGGTCCAATTACTAATTAATCGTACCAATAACAAATTTCGATGTTAAAAAGTCTTTTGAGAACTTCTTTTGGGCAAAAAAGTCAGTAGCGCTTTCCATAAGTTTTAAAAACTGCAGGGAACATTAAGAAGGAAGCCATTCAAGGGCACGTAATTGACGTTTGAATGACGTAGGTATCCAGTCACAGGTATCCAATCACGAAAAGTTGAAATTGGGTACCGGTAATTGGACACTCACAGGCGCGCGGAGAGTCAATCACGATCGAGAATTTTGTTATAGATACGATTAAAATAGTGAAACATGTATAGAGTCATTATTACAGCGAGGACGTTCGAACCATGAACACTTAACCGGTATTTGTGCATTTTTTTTATGATTATTTCAAGAGGGCTCTTCAAATGACAAAATAATATTATTTTTACAGTGCAGAAAATGCTTATCTTTTTGTTTGATGTCAAGATCCCTTATTGCGCTGTCATTAAAAAAAAAAGTGCGCTAAAAATTGTCAAGTGCTCATGATTTGATTTAATTTACTGTTGTTATTTAAAGAGTAATATATTAATTGATGTTAAAAAGTTTCTACAAAAGTTTCAGAAAGGTTATTTCGCATGAAGTAATACATCGCTGCATAGTACATGTTTTCTAGCAGCATCTGATTTCATCGTGATAGTTCCAGCCAGCTCCTACTCAGCTTGCCTAGCTGGCAGGATTTAACGCCCGAGGGACGCGTGAGTGCTTACTGTGTAGTTTCTGTGGTGAATAACTCGGGTGTAGAAGTGAACGAGAGTGGGAATGCAGCAAGGAGAATGGCATGGGATTTTGTCAACTTTGCCTCTAGGTCAAACCGCTCGCGTTTGCAGTAAAGAAGCCCTCGCTCGCGGAATCCCGTGAGCTCAGCAGGCTTCACTTCCTAATAAATGGCTGATCTTGACTAGGAGCAATTGGTGGATTAAACGTGCGTACAGAAATGAAGCCTCTTCCAGGCGTTTGGTCAGTTGGACCGCGCCAAGAAAGCGGCGAGAGAACAGAAAAGATGGGATGGGTGGGTTGGGTGTCTAGAGGAGGTGAAATTACAAACAAGACTGATTTGGAGAAACAAAGCTAAGGAATACATGCATTATCAAGGACAGAAGATTATGGCTATTTGCATTAGGTACAACTTGCCAATGTTGAGAAAACATAGTTCACTTATCAGAGGCTCATTATTCAGTAACTCGCTAAACAAAGAGACCTTTGACATAGCAGTACAAATATTGCGTATAGTGTCGGTGATTGGTTTTCATTAACACGTGGAAAATGAGGAACAATTAACCAATCAGAGGCACGACATACTGGTAATCGTAAGGTGGTGGTACTTCCATAAATTTTGGATGTGTCTACTGCGAAGGGTCTTAGGGCGGGGGAGGGGGGGAGGTACGTCGCTCATTCCTCACCAGCTCCAGGGCTTGAATAAAACAAGAACGCGGAGTTCCTCGAGGGAATTGTTTTTGCTCTTATTTACTGTTACTAGAACCAAGATGGAAATCACGACATCCTGTAGGGTTTGCCTCGTTTAAAATGAAAGGGATGAAATTCATTTTTAATCGCAGTTTTCACGCTACGTTTGTCCCGACTGTTGGACAATTTATTGCCGTTCAGTTGTTAGTAATGAGAAACTGTCAAAGGACGGTGTTTCCGCGGTGCGACTTACTCATAAGCACAGAGTCGGTGTAAAAGAGGAGTACACCGTGGGATATTTCAGTGTTTTTTGTGGTATTATTTTTCGCAGACTTTGATCATAATTTATTTAAGCCTTACTCGAATACCTTTAAAATGTAACATTCCCTAAGGTTTCTTTATTTTGGGATGAAATGTTAAATTTATTTAATGGTAGTGATGATACTACGGTTAAGAGAATTTAATGAAAGCAAAGTTGTGTGAAATGTTTTTTAGATAGATAGATAGAAACTTTATTAAGAATGTCATCAACCACCTAGCTGGGGAAAAACTCCCCTACTAATACGGGGACATAAAAAAAAAAAACGAGTTAAATTAAAAGAAAATACTAGTAAAATTTAAATCCAAGTTAAAATATGTTATGAGACTATGTACAGTGGATTTTATAATACAATAATACATACTTAAAAAATTCAGTAAATTCAAAGCGTTTGCTGTTTTATTCGCTTGTTCCTTGAGTCCGCGAAACGTGCAAAAATGCTTCCCGTTTCAAGTGACAATAGCAAGTAGTTAATGAGAAATGAATGAAGTTGTAAAGATGAAAAGCCAATTTTTAATGTTCTTAATTTCGATTTGTGTTCTTAGAATGTGATCGTTTTACACTCACCTCTGTAAGACGACTTTGACGCCCTGTCCACACTACGTCTGAGGAATTTGAAAACGGAGGTTTCACTCTGAGAACGCATCAGATATTCTCGGTCCACACTATGCCAGAGGAATTTGAAAACGCAACAATCACCGGTCATTTTTGATTTTTGTTTAAGGAAAACTCGGGCAGAGAAGGCACATTAATATCATAATGTCATCGTTTTCGGAAAGCTCTGTTTTCAAAATGTTTTCCGTCCACGGTAAAACGCAAAGCCGGCGTTTTCAGATTCCTCCGGTTTGAAAAGAGTTTTCGAAAAGCTTCGTTTTCATGACGGATTAGTTTGGACGGTAGGCAGCTGCGCTTAGAAATTCCTCCGGAATTAGTGTGGACGGGGTCTGAGTAAACTTTGTTTTTTTTTTAGTACAAAGTGTATCATAGGAAGCAATAGCTCTTTTCGCGTTTAACTTTCCTCATTTACATTACAATATAATCTAGCATGTATGTGGGCCAATTTCGGGCAGTTTTGTGGTTTCTCCTTAAATGACCTCGTTACGTTGTAATGCAAATGAGAATTTTATGTCAACCGTGAAAAAACGGCTATTGCCACTCTGTACGCCCCTTTTTTTCTTCCATGTAATTAAGTTCGCTTTCTTTTTATCCCGGATCAGTTAGAGGAAGTCACCCCTCACTTGCATGGACCTCTAGACGTATTTTTGGAAGTGCCATCTTTGCGATCGTGTAAAGATAAGAACCGTCATTTAGGTTCATTCCTGGGGCCTTTTTGATACGGTATTAAATGAATGGGTCTTTATTAACTTCTGGGAGCTTTATTAACTTGCAAAACGCCAAGGGCGACGCTCGCACCCAGAGCCCAGATGAGCCGAGCTTGTCTTCGGCATAAGGACAGCGGCTTTGGGCGTTAGGAGATTTCCTGTGGCGGCCATTTTGAAAAGTGGTGAGTTCCTCGTGGCTTTACAAACACGTCTTTTGTGAATGAAATGGTAAGTTTCGTTTGCCAATGAGTCTTCAAAAATCAATTCATTTGTTTATCTGAACTTTACTAGTACAAGGGAAGATAAGATTCTCCATTTCGCTTCATAGTTAAGCCTTTAAATATCAAATATGAATTTATGGAAAAGCAGACTTTTAAAAATTTTGTTGTAAACACTCTAGAATAGAGCAGCAGTAATCATTATTATTTCTAGCTAATAAGCTTTTTTTAAATTGAAATTTAGGTTTTGTGACAATATTATTAGAAGAGAAACGCTCAGAACTTGTGCAAGCTCGGTTTGTTATTCTAACAGGTATAGAAAGTCAGCTTTATAATAACAAAACTGATGGCTATTTACAAAGGCTATTTGATGGTCAGCTACCGCTGGAAAAGCATGCCTGATTAATTTTAGTCATCGTCTGAAGGTACGAAATAGCATTGTTTCGTAAATCATAGAAATTTTGTTTTACTTGCAGCACTAAACCTGTTCCCCCATTATTTTTTGTCCCCACCCCCTGTGACAAGATAGTGTACACTGGCTTCACCCTTGAGGTGGTGGTGTACTATTCATTAGAAGAACTTCCTTAGCTAAGAGAGAAAAACAAAACAGCAAAAGACATTTTAAACCATAATTACCCATGGTAAGTAAGTGATTTAGCAGAACTGCTGATGGGTCTGTGCCAGATATTAGAAATAAATGTTACAAATTAAACTTAACAAGGATAAAAATCCCAACGGGCAGGAGGTAGACTAGTTGGTTATTTACAAGTGTGTCCGAGGAGCTGAACTCGGGGCTACCAGGAAACAATTCCAGCTTGTGGTCAGAATGAGGCTCGAACCCCAGCCTGGACCATGGGTTTTCAAATCCGGTCCAGTGACTGAACCACTAGGCCATGTTGCCTCTATTGTATGCTGCTTACCTCTGTGTGCAATCACTTAGGGACAGAAGGGCGGCACATTTAAAATAGAATAAGCTGCCCTGGGAATTGGGTTGTCAAATTGTTATTAATCTTTTATTAAAGCTCTTTATATCCTATTCCTCCATTTACATGTAATTATGCAATTACCATCCTTGTTGTTTGCTAATTCTAATCAAATTTGTTAGAAAAATACCTTGAAAGAACTCATAAGTTGAACTAGTTAAATATACCAAACTGCAGTAAACTATTATTTTTCAATCAACTGCTTTTTTGTCTATTTTCTGAAAAGTGCAATGTTTCTAAGTTATCCTGCACACTGGTCACAGTTGTGACTTTGGGGTTGAAGATTTAAAACATGCTTGTTTGGCTATGTGATTTTTTCATTCAAAATTGTTCAAGCTGCGATCTGTCTATTAGATAATGGAAATGCTAATAGTGTCAACCAGATGATGTCTTTGTTTTGAAAAGTTCACCATATAAGGACAAATAATAATAATAATAAATTAATATTTTAAGAAGAGGCCTCCAATCACCTAGAGGTGGTTTTCCGGAGGGTCCTCTGAAAAATAAAAGTTTAAAACATACATTAAATGTCTAAAATACAGAAGTAAAAACTGTATGTGGATAGTTAATATTGTTTATAAAAAATTGTTGCCATGGAAACAGTTGTTGAACAGTTCACTATATAAGGATATATCTGGATAGTTTATGTAGTTAATATTGTTTATAAAAAATGTTGCCATGGAAACAGTTTAAAGTATTAAATCTGGAGATTTCTAAATTTCTGTTCGGAAAGGGTTAAGGGACTTCCACCATCTTTATGTTCTGAAAGT